CTCCCTCCCCCCCCACTCCCTCCTCCACTCCCTCCTCCTGCACTCTTTCCTGCTTTCTGCCTTGTGAGCCTGTGGAGATCAGAGGACAGCTTTCTGGAGTCAGTTTTCTCCTCTGCCAGTCTGTGGACTCCAGGATAGCTGTGCTTGAAAGCTTCCGGGCGATTCCCCTGCCTCTGCCTCCCGCCTCAATAGAGGAATGTTGGATTTACAGGTGCATGCCACCACATCTGGCTTTTTCACAGGGGTTCCAGAGATCAAACTCAGGCTGTCAGGCTGTGTAGCAAACACTTTTACTTGGTGGGGTGACATTGCCAGGTCCCACCTTGATTTTTGAGACAGAGTCTCTCCTTGGCCTAGAGCTCACCCAAGCAGGCTGGATTGGCTGGCTGCCAGGATCTATCTATCCCCGAACCCTAGTTCTGGGATTACAAGCATGTGTCGTCACATCCATCTGTTTAAAATGAGTGCCGGGGATCAAACTGAGGTACCAGGGTGCAGTGTTTGGATAAAAATGGCCCCATAGGCTCACGGGGAGTGGCACTACTAGGAGGCGTGGCCTTGTAGGAGGAGGTGTGGCCTTGTAGGAGGAAGTGTGGCCTTGTAGGAGGAAGTGCGTCACTAGGGGTTGGACTTTAAGCTTTCAGAAGCTCCAGCCTGGCCAATGTGTCTCAGTCTCTTCCTGCTGCCTCTGGATCCAGATGTAGAACTCTCAGCTTCCTCTCCAGCACCATGTCTGCCTGCACACTGCCATGCTTTCTGCCGTGACAATGGACTAAACCTCTGAACTGTAAGCCAGCCCCAGTTAAGTGTTTTCCTTTATAAGAGCTGCTGTGGTCATGGCGTCTCTTCACAGCAATGAAACCCCAGCTAAGACACAATGCTTGAACAGGAAGCCTTTTACTGACTGAACCAGCTCTCTCTAGTTCATATTCTGTGCTTTTTTTCTTTTCTTTTCTTTTCTTTTCCTTTATTTTTTTATTTTTTTATTTTTCTTTTGCAGGGTGTAGCTCACTGAAGCCTGGAAATCACTCTGTAGAGTGGGCTGGCCTAGTATTCACAGAGATCTGCCTGCCTCTGCCTCCTGGGGTTAAAGGCATACACCACTGCTCCCAGCCAGCTTCTGCTAGGGATCACCCAGGCTACCCCCTCTTTACACAGAGCCTTGAAGGTGCCTTTGGTGCTCTGTAGGTAAGAGCTGGGAACATCTGGTACGAAGGATGCTCCAGACACCCCGAGGCAGGAGGTATTTGTGCTAATGTCACAGTCTGGCCACAGATTGGCCTGGTCCCCAAGAGAGTGCTGGGATTTCACACAGGCGTTGAGAGAAAGGCCTAGGTTCCAGCTCTGTGTCTCTTGGCTGTGTGTATGGTCATTTCCTCCTCAGGAAGACAGAGACAATAATTGGACACCCTCGGGGCTGGAGAGATGGTTCAGGAGTTAAGAGCACTGGCTGCTCTTCCAAAGACCTGGGTTCAATTCCCAGCACCCACACAGCAGTTCACACC